TCTGCTCTTCGCCGCATAAGCTCGCGAAACATGGCAGATTCCGCTGCAACAAACACCATTGGAGGCACGCAACGCCAGCAGTCCTTTCTTGGTCGCGGTGGCGTGCCAGACCAGACGCCTGACCAAGCCCCGGGAGGCACGCAACGCCAGCAGTCCTTCCGTGGTCGCGGTGGCGTGCCTGACCAGACGCCAGATGGCGTTCCGCGACTTGAAGTGCAACATCGCTTGATGCAGGGGAGGCGAATTTAGCATTTAGAATGCTTTCTGCAAGTGAATTGAGTGGAATTTGTCGTCAAAATCCTTTTCTGTATGCCATCTTAGTTGTTGGGCAACTCGCATACTATAGCTCTTCCTTGTTGTGGGAATAGGGGACAAGGCCCCAGCTAATCGCAGTTTTTGCTTTGTATTTGAATTTCTCTATTTTCCCCTTTCCAACGATCGCGGACGCTTCTTCATATGCAACGACGTGTATATATATATATATATATAAGCTAATGAAATGGCTCTGCCGCTCTTTGTCCGGAAGAGTTTTTGGTATATGGACTTCGTGACGACCAAGTGTCAAAGAACTCTTAGAGTTGTTACGTTGGTGTAGCTGAGTGCGTCATTGCTGACTTTTTTTTCTTTTCTTTTTTCATGATGTCCCTGGGCATATATGTCGGGCGGGGCCGAGATAAAGTATGGGAGTTGGGAGGGGGAGGAATTACTCGGTGTTTTGCCAGGCAAGATTTCATGCGCGCTGGTCGCTTCATGTGTGCTGAAAAAGAATCTGTGGGTGAATTTGAGGTTTCCACTGGTGAATTGAAAATCAAATAAGTTGTATTACAGTCGAAGCAGCAGAACAACGGGCAAATAAAGAAATGAGAGAAATACAATTAAAAAGGCCAACAGCAGAGGAGCAATATATATGTTTGTAGGCAAAGTGAGCAAGTAAAAGTTATGTGCATGTGTTTGCTTTCAGCACTGTTTTTGCCCATTAGTTTTTTTTTTTGTGTGTTTTTGGCTTGGGGTGGTGAGGGGAGCGGGGTGTATTTTCTTTGTTTCTATGTCACCATGCGTTATTTTCCCTCCCTTATTCACGCCACGACCCTATGTCTTGTTTCCCTTTCGATCTTTATATGTGTCTACCTGGAAAAGCTTGTCTGTTTCCATTAATTTGAATACTTAGCCTGTTCAGGCGTGTCCACCGCCCACCCCCCATTTCTCTCCCTCGCTGGTGACGTGTGTGCTAAGTTTCAGTCACACTCACTGCATGATGCTCGTTTATGTGTTAAAATACATTTTGTTTTTTGAAGTATCACCCGCCCAATTGAAGTCTGTGTATATTTGGGGCGGGGCGCATGTGTATTTATCACTCGTCTCTCCCTCCTCCTCTTTTTTTTGTGCATCTCTATTGGGGTTTTGGGGTTCCTTGCAGTGGCGGCTCTCGCACCTTTAGCCCTTCACCGCCGTCGTCGTCGTCTCCCTCGAACCCCTTTTCCTTGGGCCAGAGTCCTGTGGGCCGACTGCTGCCACGCTCACGGTGGCTGGCTTTTTGTTCTCCCCTTTCCTCTCTATATTTTTTTTTCGCTTTCTCTTTTCTTCTGTGTGTCTGTGTGTGTGTGTGTTTCTGCCGTCTTGGCGCTGAGAAGGAGCGAGAAAGAGAGACCCACCGACCGAATTGAACCGAATAGCGAAAGACTGTCATAACCAAACCGTGAGTCATAGACAAGAGCAGGGCTAAACAGGGAAACAAAAGGCAGTAAGGAAAGCACACGCGGACGCCATGACAGGCTGTGAGGCTTCGCGGGAGAAGGCGGCCCCCGAAGCGGAGGGGAGCCGGAATGTGAGCCCGGCAGGGACGCCTCAGGGGACACAAGCACCGGCGCACAACTATACCTACCAGACCAACAGCTTACAGCGGGCGGTGTACGATTACCTGAAGAAGCTGAAGCCGATCCCGGAGCTAGCGGAACCAAGGAGCATGAAAACATATGAAGAAGCGTCTGTGGAGGCGGTGTTGTACCCACTCATTGAAAGGCACCAGGTGATCATGGTAGCTGGAGCCTTCTTTGGCGATGAAGGAAAAGGAAAGACTGTCGACGCCGTTGCACGGCACCCGGCTTGCACATGTATCGCACGTGTGAACAGCGGTGAAAATGCCGGTCATACCGTATACGATGATGCGGGACGCAAGTTTGTTTTTAATCTGGCTCCCTCTGGCCTCCTTTCGGCGGATAAGCGGAACTATGTGGGCCCAGAATGTGTGATGGACCCCATCAGCTTCATGGATAAGGAGGTATGCCAACTGATTAATGCGAAGCTCCCATATAAGGATCGTTTGTTCATTGGGAACGTTAATGTGGTAACACCTTATCATAAGTTGCTTGACTTGCTTGCTTCAACTCCAAATTCCTCGACGCTGAAGGGGATGGCCCCCGTTCACGCATCCAAGGTGACAAAGCGTGGCCTTCGTTTGGATCATATTTTTAATGATACCTCTGTGCTTCGTGCACGCCTTGCAAAAGACATGGAAACGTACTTTGGTTTTTTGAAGGTGAAGGCATTGTCAGACGCGGACGTTGTTCGACGCTGCGAAGAAGAGAACAGTGACGGTGTGCAACGAGTGCCACCCCACGTGGTGGAATTTGCGCGCGCGCCAGACAAGGTGGAGTACCTCGTGAAACTGTACATGGATCGTGTGAAAAACAACAAGGAATTCCCACCTCGGTGTGACGTGGCACATGAGTTGCGCTCCGCACTGGAGCGTGGTGAGAAGGTGATGCTGGAGGGGCCACAATCGTACTGGCTAAGTAATGCTCGTGAAAAATTCTGGGAGAGTACCACTTCTGCTGACACCACGGCAGCTGGGTTGTTGGCTACGGCGCAATTCAATTTTCAGCGCTACAGCTCTGTGGTGATTAATGTACACAAGGCGCCGGGAAGCAGCCGGGTTGGAATTGGGGCCAACCCCAGCAGCTTTATTCCACAGGACTTTTTCTCGGCACAAGAGGTGAAGACGCTGCATGATCTTCCTGAAAACATGTGTGTTGACTTTGACAGCATTCAGAAACTTTTCTTCACGAAGGCGTTTCACCCAGAGAGCAAGGAGTACAATGGGGTATGGGAGCCGTTGGAGTTTGAGGACTCCAGCGGAAAGTATAATATTGGCGTCGCCATGGCCATCGCTTCGTCACGTCACCATGACGAATGTGGCGCGGTGACGAAGAAGCCTCGTGTGTGCGGCTTTTTTGACTGCGTGCTGCACTTTGAGGTGAACGCGGTGCAAGGGCCCTATCTTTCCATCTCCGCCCTCGACCGCGGCGACGACTACGAGAAGCTCGGCGTCACGGTCGCCTACGTTTACTACCACAAGGACAACCGGGTGCTGAACATCAGCGGCCGCGAGTACAAAAATGGCGACATCATCAAGGCCGGTGAGGCGGTGCCAGCGGAGGCGGCGTTGTACTACTGCCACCCCATCGTGAAGCTTATCAATGGGTGGAAGCAGACCCCCATCGCGGCGTCCAAACGCAAAGCCGGCGAACCGCTGCCAAAAGGTGTCTGCGAATTTATCGCCACGGTGGAGCACTTTACAAAGGCCAAGGTTATCTCCATCGGCAATGGCCCGAGAGGAAAGGACATTATTTACCTCAAGCAGTGAGGCGGGAAAACCGGGATAGGGGGAAAGATAAACAAAGACACACGATAACTGTAATGAAGAGGAACAAGAGGAATGAAGGGAGACGCAGAAATGCACAACAAATAAAAGGTAGACCCCCCCC